ACTCAATATGCAATCTCGTGCAGTCATATACTCAATATGCAATCTCGTGCAATATACTTGATCATGCGGTAAAAAGAACATGATGCTTTTAGTATAAATATAGATAGATAAGCATATACACTCTTTTGTAAAAAGAATACTTTTTTTGTGGAGGTTTCTTAGAGTCACAATGAGCTTTGCTCTTCTTTTCTAGAGTCTCAATGACTCGCTTTCTTTAGAGTCGCAATGACTCGCTTTCTTTAGAGTCTCAATGACTCGCTTTTTTTAGAGTCTCAATGACTCACTTTCTTTATACTCGTGGGCGAGGTAAGACTTCACCATATTGTGAATGAACCTATCTAGGCTCGGCATCTAGCCGGCCTAATACTCATCTCGCCCACAGAACCACTCTCTTGGTTCTTTTTCTAAAACTCTGTGGAATCAGGTATCTAACTATCAGCGTGCACACCCCCTGACCAGGATTCCAAGCCTGGCGGGCAGTTTCCAACCTAGTAACTCGGGAATATCGACCTCGTTACTTCATATCGGATTGCAATGTCCATTTCTTTCTTTACTTTCTCTTTTCACTGATTTTTCGGTTCTATCCGATCTTATCTCTTTTCACTGTTTTGTCGGTTCTATCCGATATTATCTCTTTTCTTCTGAAAGACATAGTCCTAACGGTCCTCCAAAACATAGATTTTGCTCACTTATATAGATAGCGCGCGCACACACACACACACACACACACACACACACACACACACACACACATATATATATATCTCATTCAACTTCTTTACTTATACAAACTTATGCACATAGTTTCTCAACAATTTCTCAATGCAACAAGAAAATGACTTTCTAAAACAGATATGAGTTTTGAAAATAATACTTAGGCTCACTTTGGCCGCTTATGCATTTTGAAACATGGTAGGCTCAAATATGCACTTTACTTAGAATGAACTTCAGTTATCATTTCACTGTGGATTCTCAACAATTCTATAAACATGCTCATAAATCATAATTTAGCAATTCTTCATTGGCAAACACTTAGCAACTATTCAACATGCCCTTGAACATAAAAATACTCAACATATTCTTATTTACTGTAAACATGCTCTATAAATTGTAATATCCTTGGCAATAATCTCAACAAGTCAAATAGACATCTAGGCATGCTTTTCTAGCAAAACTTAACAAATATTGATCATATTTCATTATCTAACATTTATATGATTGACATGCTTCTCAAATAAATAGCCAAAACTAACACTCAACATTTTCCTTCACGGTAAACATTCACAAACAACCTCTATAACATTCTTCTTTTCAATTTCTATCTCACAATGCTCAATTTTACTCCAAAATCAAAGAAATCAACATCTATATGTGCGTCATGACGGCCCCGAGTGCCCGAGCCTCAAGGGCCCACGAGTCCTGGTCCGAAATGACACTTAGCTGAGCCACAAGGGCCCGACCACTGCACAACTTCTGCTTGGCGGAGCTCTCGGTGGGACTTGGGATACTTCGCCTCCTGGCTCCGCCATTTCATGACTCAGGGCAACGACCCACACCAGGAGCCGTGTCCTGGGGCCGCCTTCTCACAGGGCTGGCCAATGGCTCCCTCCTAGGGCCGTTGGCTAGGCCCGTGAGTCGACCTGGTGCACACTGCCTTGTGCACCAGATGATTCCTTTCACCTGCAAAATTTATTTCAGGCATTCTAACACTTCCAAAACCTCAACAACACATTATAGATCAACAATAGATCACTTAATAGCTCAAACACTTCAATAATCTAGCATTTCTACACATTTCTACCACAAAAAATAGACTTCACAGAGTCTAATATAGCTTTGGGAGTCCATGGGGTTATACCTTTGTATATTTCCTCCTTTGAGCTGGGATTCCACCTTCTTCCCAAGCTAGTTACACCCTCCTTCACCTCCTAAATACCTCAAACAAACTATACAAAACTTAAGACTAGAACCTTAGAGAAGGGAAGAGAGCTAGAAGAAATGAAAAAGGCTAGGATTGAATGAAGAAGGATGATGAAACTTACTGTGTTCCCTCTTGATCTTGCAGAGCTCAAAATGTGAGAAGCAAAGAGTGGAATCAAGAGGCAAATGTCTGATAGAGTTCTCATTTATAGAGGCACAAAACCCTAGGATGATCTCTCATGATTGGTGGAGGGTATAAAGGTAAAGCTTGGCTAAAAGTTTGCATCAGGCAAAGTTTTGGATGGCTTGTGGTCCACCATGCTTCATGAACCAAGGACTAGAATTGAGATTTAAAATAGTTTGGGGTTGAAAATGAATTTCTCAAAATGACTTCTCGATAAACACTTGTTTTAGGCTTCTCAGATTTCTCCCGGTTTCACTCAGAATTGTTTTTCAGTTCAAAACTTGGTACGCAATGTACCCGACAATCTAGGATTTTAGATTTAAGTCATGACTTGGTGTTGAATTTATTTAAAAGTGGCTCAAAATAATTTATTCAAATACCGATTTCATCGCAAAAAATTTTATAGAGTGAAAAATGGCTATTTTGGAATTTCTTAAAACCGAATTTATAAAATTAAATTTTGGGTTGTCACAATGACCCTTTGCTAGCTTTGATCAAACAGTGAAGGATATGGCGACTTCATAATTGACCCCTATCTCAATGATTGTCAACCGATAGAACTGAAGCTGAAGGCTTCGTGCCACTTTGTATTGGTGTACAAAATACTTGGTGGGAACCTCCTTGGAGTTAAGGAAAAGAGTGGAGTACGAAAGTTCTTCCGAACCACTATAAAAATCTCTCTTGCATTCTACATTCATTTTTGTTACTTCTAATGTGCAACTAATCCATACTTACACACACTAATACTTAAAATTGTCAAACTTAACTATCCATTTTATTAGGCAAGCTCAAAGACTTCTGTTGCAAGGAAACTCCGTTTTTTAGCTTTGATTTATAAATTCAAACTCACTTAGAATAGACTCAAAAAGGTTTTTACAACTATTTGTGGTACTGCTCGAACTACCATTCGGACTATCAACTACTCGGTGGTGTTGACTATTCGGTTTGACCAAATAGTTGACTATTCAAATATTTGTGGTACTGCTCGAACTACCATTCTTGGGTACTAGTCGAAGTACTCTTCGGAATACCGTTCTGGTAGTGTTAATTATGATCAGTTAGGAATTAATTATGAATTAATTCCAATTTATTTTTTAGAATTAAACTCCATAATAAAGTTGATGTTTGATGAGCATATTTTATACCTTGATTTAAATAAGATTTTATAGGTTAATTTTACTATTTATATTTTATATTTTATCAATTTAGTTTATTTTGTTATATTAGGATTAAAGAACTTAGTTAATGAATTTAAGTCTAATTAAGCTTATTTGTCATTATAACTTATATAAATATAAGTTGCGTGGGTCGTTAGGTAATTAAATAAAATATTTGTTAATGTTATGGGGATTATATATCTAAAATTATTTCAAATGTTAATGTCATTATTTATTGCTATTTATTTCTCTTCTCCTATATAAGCTTGGTGTTGGGCAGAATTGTTTGAGCGATTTTGAACTCTCAAAATCTGAGTTTCTCTATCTTCCTCTCTCAACTCTCCTCTTACACGAAAATTGTGCCAACATTTTATTAAAAAAGGAATCGAAGTGCTCGCCTGTTGTTCTTGTTCGCTGGACTTTTTGTTTGAGTGCTCAAGCATTAAGTCGTAATCCGTTTGATTCTGGGGGACTGACACTACAACATTCCTAGCACCCTCGGGAGGTAGCGAATCGATTTTAAGAAAAGTGTGAAGCACGCACGACTCAGATTTTCTTTTTTCTTCTTGTTGAGTTTAAATCTCAAATTTTAAAATCCTTTTTTCGTATTTATTTATTTTATATAAATAAATTCTTTGTTTCATACCAAGTTTGGTGGAATTAATTTTTTATAAATTAAATTCCTTATTGTTTTGGTTTCGTACCAAAAAAGATTAGAATTAATTTTCTAAATTAAATTTCATTTTGTGTATCGACTTATTCATCACCAATAAATACTTCCAATAGCAATGGATGTCCTTCTCTTCTAAGAGATGATCTTTTTTTTTTTAATCTATTAACATATTACATATATAAAATAAGGAAGAAGTATCAATTAAGGAATACATAATTAGGTTTTCAAAAAGAAAAAAAAAAGGAATACATAATTAGTAAATCCCTAATTACATGCTCTATGAAATAAGCAAAAAAATACATAATCAGTTAATCCATAATTATATGTTTCCTTAAATTTTGCTATATTTGAATGATTATTTGATTACTTTCATTTCATTTCTGATTTATATCATATCACCGAGGACAGTCAAAGAAAAAAAACATTCCATGCCTTATTGCCTTGTTGATGATGTGGAAGGAGAAAACCCACATCAGAATGCTGTTAGTATAAGTATTCAATACATTGGTTCAAATTTTAACTTCTTAATAATAATATTAGTGTTCCTAAGTTTTGCATGATAAAATTAATGAACCAAATTCAAGATGAGCCTTCGGTTGAACGAGTTTAACAAACTGATACAATATTTGACTGGAGAAGAAAAACCAAACCAACCAAGACAAAGGTGACCTGTCGTCACAACCAGATTCCATCCATGTCAGAAGAAAAGGAACCCTTCTCCATGACAAAACACATTAACAAACTGGGTTTCCCTCCTTCCTCCATTCTTCTATATCATCTCCTAATCCACCCTGCAAATCTTCTTCACAAACCTGCAATTAGAGCAATCTTTTTTTGTGTCAGCAATTCACAACAAGGAGGGGAAGAGGGCCGGGAAGCCAACGGGATCCTATGATAACGCACAATTAAGGAGAGCCAGAGGGAAATCAATGGGAAACGGCGAGGCTGAAAGTGTGTCCGATGTCCTGCTAGATAATAATGGTGAGGCGGCAGGAGCTAGAACAGAATCATCTTTGAGGATGACTGCTGCAGGCATGATGAAGAGGAGGACGGGGTCGGAGCCAAAACTGGACAGGATGAACTCTGGGGCAGGCAGAGGGTTCAAGGGCATAAGGTTTCTTGAAAGGTCTGCCTCGGGGAAGGAGGCGGAGTCCTGGAGAACGATAGAGACACGTTTCCATGAAAATGCAGAAGGTGGGAGGCTCTGCAGACACAAATTTGGGGCCTGCATTGGTATGTTACGTTAGTTTCTTGAATTCTTGTCATCAGCTTGCATGCATTGCATGATTATTTTGTGTTTGTTGAGAAAAAGAGAGCTAATAAGGTTTCCATGCATGCGGTTTTGAATTGCCTGGAAGGAATGGGAGACAGCAAGGAGTTTGCAGCTGAATTGTTTGATGCCTTGGCAAGGCGCAGGAAGATTGAAGCAGAAAATGGGATAACTATAGATGAAATGAAGAAGTTTTGGGAAGACATGACAAACCAAGATCTTGATATACGCCTCCATATTTTCTTTGAAATGTAAGGAATTACCTGCATTTAGTGTTGATTTAGTAACCACAAGGTTACATGTTCTACTTCCAATCAGAGCGGTCTATTGACCTTCTTGGTTTTAGCCAGTTAAAGCCGGTTAGCAATGGGCAACCTATGCTGGTTTACCTCCTTGTAGTCCTTTGCCAGCTAAAGTTACAAGACAGTTTACCTAGCGCACACCATCTGATAGTGATTGCGGGTTTTCCTTTTCTGACTGACTTAGGGGACTAAATTTAGTAAATCTGTGCAGGTGTGACAAGAATGGTGATGGAATGTTATCAGAAGATGAGGTTAGAGAGGTGAGAAAAGTTTGTTTGTGAATTCTATTCCCCTCCCTGGTTTTCTTTTCTGAACCTGTTATTGTGGAAAAAGGTCCTAGTGATGAGTGCCTCAGCCAACAAACTCTCAAACTTCAAGGAAAATGCCGGGGTGTATGCTTCTTTAATCATGGAAGAGCTTGATCCTGATCAAAAAGGATACATAGAGGTGAGTTTCCACATAATGATTCTATTAGAATTGAACCTAATAGTCGCAGTGTGAGAATTACATTTACCATGGTGTATTCCTTGAGGACACCGAACCACTGGTCCTCCCACCTAATGGGTCGATGAGCATTCCACTATTTTGTCGGGGTGGAGTGTGGGTCTCGTGCGGGTTAGAAGATTTTGCCTTTTGCGGGCAAGATAATGATTGTAATACTGCAACTCAGCTTTCTTCATCTTCTTAATTAAGCATCTTCCAAATGAAACAGATGTGGCAACTTGAAACTCTGCTAAATGGAGTTGTGGGAAAAGGAGAAGGGAAACAGAATTTGAAGAGAACATTCTCACTGACCAGAACCATGATCCCAAAACAATACAGAAACCCAGTGAAGAAATTCATGTCCCTGGCAAGAGAGAAAATCCTGGAAAACTGGAAAAGAATATGGGTCCTTACACTCTGGCTGTGCATCAACCTCACACTCTTTGCCTGGAAATTCCAGTATTTCAAGAACCACCCAGCCTTCCAAATCATGGGCTACTGTCTCCCCTCAGCTAAAGGCGCCGCGGAGACCCTGAAATTCAACATGGCTCTCATCCTCGTCCCGGTCTGCAGAAGAACTCTCACCACCCTCAGGGAATCATTCCTCGGTGCCATAATCCCCTTCGATGATAACATCAGCTTCCACAAGATCATCTCCCTGGGAATCGTAATAGCAGCCTTTGTTCATGCATCAATGCACACAGGCTGCAATTTTGTCAGAATCGTCTCAAGCCCGGAGGATAAATACAGGGAAATTCTTGGCCATTTTGTTGGTTATCAGCAGCCTAGTTACTATGACCTGATGGAATCATTCCCCAGCATAACAGGCATCGTGATCACGGTTCTAATGGCATTTATCTTCACTTTGGCAATGCATTCTTTCCGGAAGAACGTCATCAAACTCCCACCACCCCTCCACCATTTAGCAGGGTTTAACGCTTTCTGGTATGCCCACCATCTGCTCATACTAGTCTACATCGTCCTCATCTTCCATAGCTACTTCATATTCCTCACAGAACAATGGTACAAGAAGACGGTACGTGTAAATTTCTCGTTTCTCTGATCATAAAATTTTTTTGTGTCAGTCTAACATATTAACAATTCTCTGCAGACATGGATGTACCTTTTGGTGCCAGTGCTAGCATATGCCAGTGAAAGGGTTTTCCTTTCCTATGAAAACAACCATCATGTGAATGTCATAAAGGTTGTATATATATAGCTTGCAAACATTTTTCATAGTTTATCAGAGAAAAAACACCATATTTAATCTGAGCTCTTTGTTTCTTTTACAGGCAGTTATATATACAGGAAATGTGTTAGCACTGTACATGAGTAAACCTCCAACATTCAAGTATAAGAGTGGGATGTACCTCTTTGTTAAATGCCGGGATATATCCAGCTTCGAATGGTAAGAATTTTAGCTCACCCGAACTGCAATTCTTTGCCTCTATGCTAACTAAACCTCCCCCGGGCTCTTCCAGGCACCCGTTCTCAATCACTTCTGCACCAGACGACGACTACTTAAGTGTGCATATTCGCACCCTTGGAGACTGGACTACAGAGCTGAAAAGCAGATTTTCAAAGGTGATATAAATATGGCAAATAAATTTGGGAATTTTTTGTTCTTATGAGTCTTAAAGCTGGGAAATGCAGGCATGTGAACCACAGTTTGCAAAGCCAAGAAAGGGGAATCTTGTGAGAATGGAAACGATGGGATATTCGGATGCTCGGAAGTCACATACAGTGTAAGAAATCGAGTTCGAATTGGTAGTGATATATATTCACACCTTCTTTAATTTCAGCAACACAATTAACACTACAATACCTTTGACAGATTCCCAGAGATTATAATAAAAGGACCCTTTGGTGCACCAGCTCAGGACTACAAGAACTATGACATTCTTTTGCTGATTGGCTTAGGGATTGGAGCAACACCTTTCATCAGCATTATAAAAGATATATTAAACAATGAATCTGTTGCTGTAAGTGTGAAAATTAAACTAGCATTTAGCTCATCAAGGAGGTGTACAAACATAATCAAATTAAGTATTGCAGGGCCAGCAAAATGGGGAGTCCAGACTGGGGGACACACCGCCTGAAAGGACATATCCTCACAGGGCTTATTTCTACTGGGTGACAAGGGAACAAGGGTCATTTGAATGGTTCAAAGGTGTCATGGATGACATAGCTGAGCAAGACCAAAATGTAAGTTTTAGTTCCATGCCATTCTCACTTTCAATATGATTTGAGTGAGGAATGAGGAGGAAACCCACGACCACTATTTGAAGGTGTACACTACCTAAACTCCGTCTTGTGACCCTAGCCAACCAGTAAAGGACCACAAGGAGGTAAACCAACTTAGGTAGTCCACGGCTGCCTACTCGAAGGTGTACATTGAAAACCCCGTCTTGTGATCCTAACCTGCTACACACATGGAAGTAAACCAATCTAGGTTGTCCGTAGCCGCCTACTCAAAGGTGTGCACCTAGTAAACCCTACCTTGTGACCCTAGTCGGCTGGCAAAGGACCATAATGAGGTAAACCAACATAGGTTGGCTCTTACTCGAAGGTGTGCACTCGACAAAGGACCACAAGATGTGCATTGGGTAGACTCCCGCCTTGTGACCTTAACCGGTCGGCGAAGAACCACAAGAAGATAAAACCAACTTATAGTTGACTGGCTCAAACCAAGAAAGCCAATAAGTTGTTTCAGCTGGAAATCAAATTTGTATCCTTGTAATTTCCAAGTCAAAAGTATGATGAACTTAGCTAAGGTTACCCCGTTGTTTATAAACTAAGATTGTGTAAATTTGGCATGCAGCAAATTATAGAAATGCACAACTATTTAACTAGTATGTATAAAGAAGGAGATGCTCGTTCTGCACTCATTACAATGGTGCAGGCCCTACAACACGCAAAAACTGGACTTGATGTTGTGTCAGAAAGCCGGGTAAGTAGCTGGCCTATATATATTAACCCACCCAGGCCACCTTTAAGATTTGAACATTATTGTCTCATCTTTTTTAACAGATAAGAACACACTTTGCTAGACCAGACTGGAAAAAGGTGTTCTCTCAAATGGCAGCTGTACATCCCAATTCTAGTATTGGTAAGCCTAATGCCACTAAAACATCCTCTTTCTGCTTCTGGTTTTTGACATTATTGTTGTCTAATTCATCATGCATGGAAACTGCACTGCAGGTGTGTTCTATTGCGGGAGCCCTGCGCTTACAAGCCAACTACTGGGGTTGTGCCAACACTTCAGCTTAAATTCATCAACCCACTTCGATTTCCATAAGGAAAATTTCTAAGTTGAATTGAATTGGGTTACAAATTAAATGTAAACTATTTTTTTGGGTCTTTTTCCTCTTTCAATTCTCAGCTGTAGGAATGAACTCGGCATGAACTGATACTATCCCCAGTTCATCCATTTTGTACAGCTCCATCACTCACATTTTTTTTATTTGTAATTAAAACCATAGCCGGTCAAGATTAGCGGGTAATAGGTAGAATTAAAATTCAAACTTTACATACTTATATTTCTCTATTTACAAATATTATATTTGCATGTTTTTCTTATGTTTCGTATCTTGTTTCTTTGTATATATTATATTTTTTGGATTCATCTTATTTTTATATTAGCTAGGTTGAAGCTAGCAAAGGAACCCCTTTTCTTTTGAGTAACGATGAAAATTATAATCATTATTCATAGTAGTGTACATTTGATAAACTTTATTTTTGTGTAATAATTTTTAAAGCATATCAAAAAGATAAATTCAGTAAGTAAGTAGACCATGTGTCACAGACTCACAGTCAAGAAGGTTTTAACCAATTGGTTTGTTCACATACTTCATAGTACCCACCACTAGTCCACTACACAAGCTATGCTACACCATTTTAGATCCTACATAGAAAAGTAAATTGTCAAATAGGAGATACCATGTATGCTCTATTTGGCAGAGCTTATTTAGAAACTTATATCTTATTTTAAGATACTAATAAAGCTATAAGCTCTGTTTGATAATATTCATAAATGAGCTTGTAGCTTAAAATAAGAGTTTATTTTGGAATGCTACCTTAAGTAGCGTTTCAAAATAAGCTAGTAGCATCCTAACTTTTTTTCCATCTTTGTCCTTATTACTTTAAAAAATAACATCATTTACCCTTCCCAATTAAAATCCTTTTATGTTTTCCTTTATCCGCAACTTTCACAGTAATTATTATTATTATTATTATTATTATTATTATTATTATTATTATATGAAGGAGATTTGCAACAATATTGCTACTTCATTATGTGATGCTAGATCATGATTATGCTAATAATTTTATTTCAAAATGTTAATTTTTTTTTGAAGACAAAATGTTAAATTTTAATATGTAAATAAATTAATTTAAATTTTATGAATATGTCATTTTTTTTGTCTTTTTACATTTAAAGGACACTTTCAAGCATAACAGCTAGCTTAACAGCTCTTCAGTTTTCAGCTCCTAGCTTATACCTTTTCAGGTTTTAGCTCCTTTTAAGCTTTCAGCTACCTTTTTAGCTAGGTTTGCCAAACATAGCCTGTAACTGTCACTCAAATTTAATTTGGAGCCCACAACAGGATCCTTCTCCCAAAAGGTTGAATCCCCAACTTCAAGTTGATCCCCTACATCCAGGCCTGACATAGCATTTGGGAGAATTTAAATCATAGTGATTCAATATCTTAGTAGACATGGCCAAATACCGATGAGCACAAGGGATCTGTCCACTTTGGACATAATCCCCACATTGTCGCTGCCGAGATTCGAACCTTAGTCTCTTTTCTCAAATACTGTCTACTGAACTAGTGAGTTAAGTTCGTGCAAGCATAGCTACAAAAACCTCAGAGAAGGGTTGGTTGATTATATTCCCACAAGGTACACAATGTGGGTACAATATTTTGGATGGAGTTAAAAAATAATATTTATTAGTAAGGGATATAATAAGCTCCAAACTATTAGTAAATATAGTAATAATTTGAAATATATATAAGCGGATTATTAATGTAACTAAAAATGCAGAAGCGAAGTTAAATTCTACGGACAGACTCACTATAAATTGCTCCAAACTAAAAGTAGTAGCATTCAGGTCTGGTATGACCTCGAAACCTACAATAATGACACACGGGGTTATAGACTTTATAGTGAAATTTATTTGACCTAACTAAACCATGAGTGCGTTTCAATGTGCTAGATTCAGGAACATCCTCCGGATCGGGTCTAGATGCCTTGACAAAAATTGTTTTATCTTTTGAGTTGCTTCCAGTGAAGCCCAGACCGAATTTTGTAGAAGTTTTTCTTCCAGAGTCAAGAATTTTGTCAAGTGTTGAGGTGGTATCCATCATTTGGATTTGTCGTTTGTAAGTGCTTAGCTCCTGCTTCAAGGTCTGCACTTTTTGTTGTAGTTTCCCTTCTCGGTCAGCTGCCGCTTCAAGTAGAACATTTTTAGTCTGTAGTTCGTTTTGTAGATTTCCTTCTCGATCAGCTGCCTCTTTAAGAAGAACATTCCTATCTTCTATTTGATTTTGATAGATTTTGCTAGCATTAGTTACAATTTCTATCTCACTTGCTAGTTTACGATTGGCTTTTCATAGGGCTTTCCATTTGGGATACAACTTATTATACTCAACTTCAAAAGATAAAACGTTTAATTCTAAATCTTCCCCAGAAACATACTCACCACCCTCTGAATCAGCCACTTCAATAGACTCAGAACAACCAACAGCACGTGCAGTAAACGCAACAAAGTTACCCGAAATTTCTTCGACATCTAATCCAGTTGTTCAACTTCGGGCTCGTCGTCACTCCATGTAATGGCCGACATGAATTTTTTGCATCGAAGATAGGTGGCACACTCTTCTTGTACATGTCCAAAGCCCTCACATTCATAGCACTTAATTCCTTTATTATTAGGTTTTTCTTTGGACTGTCCTGGACGGAAGGTAGATTGTTTGAAGTTTGATGAACCTGTCCTGGGACCGGCTTTGGACGATGTTGCTCCTCTTTGTGCATTTCGGTTGGGTGAATTCTTGGATACCTGTTTCAGAATTTTGGAAAACTGTTTAGTTAAAAAGACAACTGTATCATCACCTGATTCGTCAGTATCAGATACAACATTATTTTCTTTAGCGGCAAAAGCTACATTTTTTTTTTTTTTTCGTGTGATCAGTTAATATTTCCATTTCATAGGTTCTTAGATTTCCCATTAACTGAGTAACCGTTTTGTTTTCCCAACCATCGTGTTCTTGGATCGCTGTGACTTTCATTCTAAATCTGGGAGGTAAGGATCTCAGTATTTTCTTGACAAGTTTTGCTTGTGAGAATGGTTCACCAAGAACCATTGCACGATTCGCCAGTTCTTGTACGCGTGAATGAAAGTTAATGATAGTCTCATCCTAATTCATTCGAAGCTCTTCGAAATCAGACTGGACAAGCTGCAGCTTCGATTGTTTCACAGAGGTGGTTCCTTCATAGGTTGACTCAAGAGCTTCCCAGGCACCTTTAGCTGAAGGAATACCTGCAACAATTGAAAACTGACTTTCATGCATAAGAGAATAAATTGTGTCTAAAGCCTTATCATTGATTCCGGCGTTAGTTATCTCTGTCTGAGTCCACTCAGTCTCAGGCTTAACTACTTCTGGCGTCAGTGCTGGAGCTGGGTTTGGTGGGATGTGTCCAACCTGACACCACAGACCGCCACACGGCTTCACCTTGAGCTTTTAAGTGCGTACGAGTGCAAGTCTTCCAATAGGCGTAGTTGTCACCAGTCAACTGGGGAAGAACTTTAGTTCGATCCATTCTGTAACACTCAACACTCCGTGAGATCAAACAAATAAGCAATAAACAGATAAAAATTGCACCGTGAGTCTTGAATACAAAAAAATACTTTATTTTTACTTGATTTAAGTTATGCACCAATTACGTTCATTAATTAGATTTGGTTTAACAAATATAAAAAAACAAAGGCAGAACGCATAAAATAAAGTAAAGACACAAAAGAATTGTTACGCAGTTCGGAGCTCCTTCTCCTACGTCTGCGGGGCAACCCACGTCTGCCCAATCCACTATAGATGTTCACCAAAAGGAGTATTACAAGAGGTAAGTATAAATGGCCTCCAGCCTTTACCACTACAACCCTTTCTAACAACTATTCAGGACTGAGTCGTGCAACCCTTAACAATCTTCAAGTTGAGTCTTAGCCGAACCTGGTACAGCTTTTCAATACAATTTAAACCCACACAAAATACCGTATGCTCATAGTAGAATAAAGAAATTAGTTTAGACAGTAATTTGTTCTCTTCAAAGTTTCAGCGCATGAATTCGTGATTCCAAATTGGGAAAGAGCTTTCCTTTTATAGCAGTAGTCTTTAGCTCTTTCAACCCCTTAATAATAGTTAACCAAAGCCACTCAAAATAATAAACAATTCACCACCTCTTATTTTGTCCACATGGCTAGCGTTTGACTTCATCTTGATAGCTTCTTGTCCATAGATATAGCATCTTCAATTAAAGAACTAGTCCACTGTTTTTTAATAAAATAAAACAACAAGTTACCATATAAATTGCCAATTTTATTTCGTTAGGATTAATGTGTATTGTACGTAAATTCATAATGTACATACACTTACAAAATATATATATATATATATATATATATATATATATATATATATATATATATATATATATATATATATATATATATATATATATGTGTGTGTGTGTGTGTGTGTGTGTGTGTGTGTGTATATATATATATATATATATATGTGTGTGTATTATATATATATATATATATATATATATATATATATATATATATATATATAGGGTACATGTATATAGTATGATGCTTATTTTGGTGTCTCCTTCCTCAAAATATTTGGCCCCTTTCAATCAATCTTGTAGACTAAATTTTCTATTTTCTAGGCTTTTCACAATATCAATTTTTATATTCTTCCAGGTGTAACCTGATCATTTTTTCATATATCTTTAAAGCTTTGAATCATTTGATGAATTACTGGTATTGTATATTTTCATTTCTCTTCAAGCAACATTCTCTGAATAGCTGCATTAATGGCGGCTTCGGCCTTCCAAGTCAAAGAAGATGGTGATTACATAAACAAAGAATTAGATATAGATAGATATTAATTTGAAACAAAGAATTAATTAAAATTAGCTAAAGCATAGGGTGATTCTGTATATATCATGTGCATGCATGTACAGTATTAAAAAGAAAATATTAGTCTGTTAGTTGATTTTAGTAGATTTGTAATGTAAAAATGTAT